TTTTCATCAGAAGCCACATGAAAGGAAGCCTCCTGGGGTAGAGTTATCTCAAACAAGCCTTCTGTGCTTAAGTAGTGCTTTGCAAGTTTCTTATATGGCATTTTTCTTACAAGGATCCATTAGGTTTAAGTCAGCAGTTCTCAACCTGTGGGTCGCAACCTCTTTGGGAGTCAAATGACCCTTTCACAGGGGTTGCCTAAGACATAACAGTAGCAAAATTACAGTCATGAAGTAGCAATGAAAATAACTTTATGGTTGGGGGTCACCACAACATGAGGAACTGTATTAAAGGGTCACGGCATTAGGAAGGTTGAGAACCACTGGGTTAAGTCATCTCTACATTCAGAGATTATTTTTCTAATTACTGGACCATAATGACATTCCGATTATTAATTGAAAATAGATACCAGGAAACCAGCCCATTTGGTAGAAAGGAAAGCCAAAGGGCCATGTTGTAGCAGTTGAGAAATGTTTCTCCTGCTTCTGTTGAAATATTGAATATGAATATTTTATATGGAAGTATCATGAGATTTTAAAGCAGATTTATATTCTAGATACATAAGAATATAATTTTTGGTAAGTAACATGGTTTACTTAAAACATTTTGGTCTTGGGGAATGTTTTCATTAAAGAAAAGAAATATGTCAGAAAGATGCTAGTCAGTGAAGCAGGGCCTCTCATGGGACACAGTTTGGGTGCAGTTTCAAGTTTCAGTTTCTCTTAACACATGTCCAGGAACTAAAACTTTACCAGTCTTCCAAGGGCTGATTTGTCTTGGCGGGATGGATTTATATGTTACCCAGTGAATGCACAAATGCCAACCTCGTAAGGGATCACAGGACAAATCAGAACACCTCTGTTTTTATTTCCTGTTGGTCTGCACTGGGTGAACACTACAAGTTCTTACTCTTCACTTCTTTTAAATGCCTCCTGCAGACTTTGTTCCATCAGCACTCCAGGCAATCATGTTACAGCGAGATTGACTAGATTATAGATTTTACACCTCATTCCTGAGGATACACTTTCTTTAACTTGATTGAACTTGGATGTTTCCCAAGGCTCTATCTATATACTGCACACAGTATCTCTTTCAGTGGCTGCCTGCTATAGACAGACAATCTCCATTTCTGTGGTTCTTAAACTTGAGCACAGGAATCACTGGGGAAATTTGTTAAGAGTGCACATTTTCAAGTTTGACCTCCACAGATTCAGATTAAGTAGATCTGGTGATTGGGCTCTGAAACATATATTCTTAGTTCTTATCCACAGTTGGGGACATCGTGTATGTGTGATTTCTTAGCAGTTCCATTTCCAAGGGCCACTTTTTTACTCAAGTCTATGGTACTCTAAGACATTTGGTTTTAAAACCTTGGAAAGTTTAAGTATCCATAACCAATGTTTAAAACAGTCCAAATTTTTATAGTTAACTCTTGCTTTTATTTTCTGTGTCAAAATACTCTGGGGAAGTTGGGGTTATGTTGGCTATTCAGAAAGCAAGTTCTCTTTGTTCTAGAATGTCTTGAATATCCACTTCTCCTTCTTCACTGCTCTGGTTTAAGACTTCCTCATCTCTCATCTGGACAGTCACAGATTTCTTCAGACTCTCACCCCCACCCCCCATTCCTGGGTGTAGATTGCTGGTGGGAGGTGATGGTAGCTCTTGTAGGATTTGGGGTAGAGGACATAACATGGTCACAAAGTATCTTAGGGAATTCACTGTGACAGGATGGGAGATGGATTAGATGGGAGTATCACAGGCTCCAGGGAGTGAGTATAGTTTAAAAAAACAAAAAGGAAAAGCTAGTATTAGAAATATTAAATTTGGAAAGTGGGAGAATTTCCTATTTCTTTTGAAATACAGAATATAATGCTTGAACACATAGAAGCAATCGAAAAGGTCTCGATTTTCTGGGGCGTAGTCCCATCTCTTGCCAGTGCCACGGTGTGTATTGTGATCCAGCATATACTTGTACCACATGTCTTTGCACAGGCCGTTTTCCTTTCCTGGATGCTGCCTCACTTTTAACATTTTTTGAGTACCTTTTATGTGTCCTTAATAAAACATGAAGATACAATGATGAAAAAGATTACATAAATTCCTTTTCTAATAGAGCTTATAATTTAATGGGATTGGGGAATGAGATACCAAATACAAACCTATACAGTAGCTTAATGGTAATTGGGGAAAATGTTAAGAAGAGTGCTGTGAGCGGATAGAACAGGGGACCTAATCTAATCTAGAAGGTCAGGGTCATTCCACCTGAGGAAATGACTTCACTTGAGACCTGAAGAATTGGTAGGAATTAACTAGAAAATTGGGGAATTTGGAAGAGGGTGTTTGTTTTGATTAGGGGGAACACCTTGTCCTTAAAGCCTGAGGCAAGGAGGAATAATCAGGAAATTCAAAGGAAGTCTGTGTGATTGGAAGCTTAGTGAACCAGAGGGAAAGGCAGCAACTGTGATGCAGGAGAGGTAGGCAGAGGCCTGACTGTTACAGTGATGTGTCTGCACTTTATCCGGGGAGCAATGGGAAGTTGCTGAGGGGTTTTATGGGCAGGGGTGAGGAGTGTGGTTACATGTTCAGATTAATATTCGAAAATAGGGACTTTGGCTGTTTGTGGAGAAAGCATTATAGGGTATAAGATAGAAATCAGTAGACTAACCAAGCTATTGTATAGACTCATTAGACTGTTAGTTCAGGGGAGAGATGATGGTGATTGGGACTAGGCTGGAGAGAATTGACTGCATTGAGAGATGGATTATTATTTTATATCTTGAATTGGTAGGACATAGTGAGAGATGGATTAAAAAGAAACGGAGATGTCAGGGATGACCCCTAGAGTTCTGGATTGAATTGGATATGAGTAACAGTCATTTTTATTGAGAGGAGCAGGTCTGGAGGAACAGATCAAAACTGTGTTGAAAGCTCCTTCTCTGTGGATTCTTGTTCATTCCCTTAGGTACTCCCACAAGATTCTGCTCACAACTGCCCTCCTATGAAACACTCTAAAGATCTTTTTGCCCCCATCTCCCATAGGGCAGTAAATTGTGCTTTTGTGTCATTTGGTAAAAAGTCTTCCTGTAGCACTTATCCCTCTGTTTTATAATTGTGTACTTGCCTATCTCTCTTACCAGACTTGATTTCTTTGTCAGGGACTTCCAGATAATGATCTTATTTGTTTGGTATTCGTGGAACGTGGGTGGATAAATATTTCTTCAAGTGTTTTCCACTGAGTTATATATGTTAAAGATTCCTTTATCTTAAATCCAGGTAATGCTGGATGAATTTATTTTACTGTGGAACTTTCCCCAGCCATTTGTATTCTAATGTGAATTGTAAATCTAGGGGAAGGGCATAAGGTGAGCAATGTATTCCAATATTATTTAATCCCCCGCCCCATCACACACACCAGCTTTTGTTTTCTGAGCGTCTCATGTTATTAGTGTTGCGGGTCAGAGATGGGGATAAGAACGTTCTGTGGGAAATGCTGATTGGGGCGTGTTCCTATCACAGAGCAGGCACATAATTCACTGAGTGTGAATTACATAAAAAGCAAAGCTGACAGCCATGGGAGAACATCTCTTGATGTCTTTGGGGAAATCATTTTGCCTATAGTTGCTACAGATCTATTTTTCCCTCCAATAATCAAAATAGACATCAAGGGATGAGAATTTACTGTCTATTGTTTGTTCCTGTCAGGCTAAAAAAGCTAGGTGACATGAGGTGACAAATTTTGTTCTGTTTCTTTGTACTAAGCTGGGAAGGGCTGAACAAAAATTTCTTTGGTCCTTTTATTTATTAACTCCCAACATCAAAACAGTGCTTTTCTTATACCACCTGGGTTCATAAAATAAACCAAGTTACATTAGTAACTATTTTTTTTTGTAAGAGAAATAAATGTTCAGTATTTTTCTCAGGCTATTTATATTCTGTTTCAGAGAGTTGGCAGTAGTGACGCAGAACCCAGGTTTCAGGGAAATAAAGGCAGATAGACTAAATGGGGAAGACACTGTTCTTTTTTTTTGAGGAGTGTATGAATTTATTTTGGAGGGGAATTTTTCTTTATTTCAAAAGTTAGAGTACTCAAGACAGTTTGTTATTAGAGTGGAACCTAGTGGAAAGTTTTACCAGGAACTCAGTGACTCAAGCAGGAAATATATTTGTTTTTTAAACTTAGATTTTATTGTGTAATGCCAGATGGCATTATTGTGTTACATTTATTAACAGACTCTGTTAGTATTTTTCTTATAGTCACATGGAGTGGAGCGGTACCTTTACTCTGTATACTTTACTTGGCTATAGAGTTAATGAGAATAATTTTTTGAGTTATATAAAGTATGGCCTACATTAGTAGGTTAAAAAAACCCTCATACCCACATTTACTTCTGTTCTCCCACATCTTAACTTACATGTTTTTATTTACCTGTCCCACCTTTTATCATGGCAGATGTTTATTTCCAAATTGGAGTAGCTTGGAATGGCAGGGAAAACATAATCATCTTTAGTCGAACTCTCAAAGAAAAGTATCAGCCTCTGTCATCAGTTTAATATTCCTTCAGCTGTCAGGGTCCCTCTTTATAACTGAATCTTTGAGGTCACCATAAAGAGCAAATAAAAATCTGTGAATAAAGATGACTTTTCCATTTATTTTAAGAAATGCCTGGGGAAAGGATCAATAACTTGCTGAATACTCTTAGCAGCAGTGACAGGGACTGTGTGAGTAAGATGTAGTAATATTTTAGCAGTGCAAACAGCTGCAGTATCCGATGCTTCTTCCTTAGTATCAATCCAGTTGTGTTTGTGGCGCTTCACATACCTTTCCACAAAAATGATGGTACAAACTTGTCTAGACCTGGTAATCTGCCGTCGCTTATTCTTTTGAAAAAGTCACAGCTCAGGGTTTATCTTTTTGTATGTTTTACTCTGCACTGTGTCTCCTAGTAAAACATTTGCTGTCCAGGAAAATAATTTTAACTGCAAACTCCCACATTTGTTTCAGGTCGGTCTTCTCTCTTTCCCTTTGAAGATGCCTTCCTGGATGACAGTCACGGCGATCAGTCCTTGTCATCGGGTTTAAGTTCTCCCACTCGCTGTCAAAATGGGGAACGAGTAGAACGCTACTCTAGAAAGGTGTTTGTTGGAGGCCTTCCTCCTGATATCGATGAAGGTACTGTGCGTTCCTTAATGACTTTATAAAGGCCAGGTTTGTTCTTTGTGTGATCTGACCCTGCCTCTCCTCTCCAAGGCAGCTTTAGGACATTCATATCTTAGTGAGCAGGGGATGAGAGTATTTGGTAAATGGAGCAGTGATAGATTCTGTGCTTCAGGTCTGCTGTTTATATGTGTTTATATATAGCAGTCTCCCAGAAGTGTTCCATTTCCTAGTTATTAGTTTTGGGATACATTTAAAAATAATAATGAGAGCTAACTTTAATGACATATTTACTATAAGCTCATTATTATGCTAGGTGCTTCACATTATAGTATCTCATTTAATCCCCATAGCTATCCTATAAGGCATAGCCTACCAGCTCCATCTTATAGGTGAGGAAGCTGAGGATCAGAGAGAAACAATTTGCCCAGGGTCATGTAGCTGTAGTGCAGCTGGAACTCAAAATCAGTCCCTGTCCAGAGCTTTTGCTCATGACCACCCCACCATACCATCTCATATTTGAATATAGATATCTATTAATGAGGAGTTCCCTCTTGTCTTTAAAATAATGAAGACTAATTAGAAATTTTCTTAATACTATTTTTGAGACCGCACCAACCCAAAAGTAAGTTTTTCTCTTATGCCTAAAGCCAGTTAGCACATAGTAGGTTGTCAATAAATATTTGCTGAATGGCTAAATGAAACAAAATTGTGACAGAGTTAACTTAAGGGGAAAAAAATAACAACTCTAGTTCTGGGCCTTGGATCTGCTATAAAATATTATTTGAAAAACTGTTTTACTAGAATTACTCTAGCTCTGATATTTCTCTAATTTATCATTTTTTTGTGATGAGAGAAGAAGAATCTCTAAAAACAGTTTTATTTTAGACTTGCTGCTTTAAAATTGTACACAGAGACTCGGTTTCCTCTAAACTATTCTCATACTAATGTTAATTTCATCTATTGATTGGATATTCTTTAAGACAAAGTTTTGATCATGTCTGAGAGAATGACAACTTAAACCTGGGTCGGAGCTAAATTACAACCTCCCATTTTGAGTCAAAAGTCAGAAGGAAAAGATACATTTATTGAACTATAACTTTTGAAACATTTTCTTTATAGAATGTGTAGTAGGTATGTATGAAAGAAACCACTGGTTTTTAACATTTCTTACCACCAAGTAGAATCACCCACTTATTTCCCCTACTCCTCACCAAAAGAATCATAATTATTTCTAAAATAATCTTACAGATTAATACTCATAGATTAATAATAATAATCTAAGGTTAATGATCTTAGAGATTTTAGAGATTATTTTACACAAGTGAAAACATATTTTAAATATTCTGTGTACTTTTTCCATTTTTCTAAAAACAGAGAACATTCCTATTTTTAGAATCTCCTTTTTATTTGACAGCAGGTCACCTTAGCTAATGTCAGATATTTTTCTTCTTCTAAATTCTTTATATCAAGTGTATTGGCAGTGAAGGGAAATGAACTATGTTTAGAAACACATTCTGCATGGGTGAAAGTGGATAATCAAATGTATCCCTCAAACAATGTGTATTTTACTTAGTAGGTTTGCCTTCTATAAAGATGCTTTACAAAACGGCTTTCAAAACATTTTTTATATAAAAAGGCATGTTTTATGCTATTCTTTTTGCAGTGTTTTTTCCTCTTTTGCTAAGATTCCTTCTCTGTTTTATAGATGAGATCACTGCCAGCTTTCGCAGGTTTGGACCTCTCGTTGTAGACTGGCCTCACAAAGCTGAAAGCAAGTCGTATTTTCCTCCTAAAGGTAATGCCCTGACAAGGTCTCCACGGCCTGCCTGTTGGAGTACTAGCTCAGTACTTCAGTAAAAGGCAGCCTTTGAACTCCTGAAATAGCTGTTGACTTTTTTCCCTAATTAAGAAAACATTTAACATTGGTCATCTTCTTATATCGCACTGTTTTTTTTCTGGAGACTGTTCCCCCAGGAGCACACTGATTGTTTCATGGCATCTATTTGTATTGACAGTGAGATCCTGTGAGTCTGTGGTGAAAGAACCTTATCCTAACTTTTCATTATTTAACAGAAAGGACCTAGGGTTTTGAGAAATGTCAGTGATGGGAAAGGAAAAGATTATTTAAAGTCAAATTTTACTTGTATCCCATAGCCCTGTGTCTTTATAGATGCTATAAACCCCAAACTTGGAAAACCTAGTGACTGAAGAATGACATTATATGAAATTACATTTATTCATGTCTCTCTCTTAAGCAATTTAGTCTGTGGTTGGGTGGAGAGCAGACTAGCAAAGGACTCATCACATAACCTGGCTTCCCTTAATTTTTGGTAGGCTTTTATTTTATTTTATGAGAGCATGAAAATATATTACTTTGTTCATAGCTTGCCATTTCTGTAGAATCTAGGCATCTTTTCTGGTAATGTTAACTCTGGGTATGTTATCTAGATTTATACAAACGAGTGTTTGGGTTGAAGAAGTTTTCTTCTCATGTTATGTTCTGTAGATATGTTTCAAGGATGCCTTTCATCCCTAAGGAATTGTTTTTGGTGTGTTATTTTGTAAAACATCAGCCACTACTAGAGATGGAGTCAAAATACTTGTCCTTCCTCTGCCTTTTCCTGGAATCAAATAATAGCTTAACCTAGGAAAGGCAAGTGACTTCCTTTTATGTTTGGCTTCTTTGTTGCCTGTACTTCTCCCCACTCTTATTATAGCCTATGAAAGAGTTATTCACTAAAGAGGGCTGTTTGTTTGCTTTTGACATACTACTGTTAATTCTCTCCAAGAATTTTTAAAGTTAAAAAATTAAGTTTTAGCCCAGCCAGTGTGTCTCAGTGGATTGAGTATCTTCCCATGGACTGAGAGATCCTGGTTTGAGTCCCTGTCAGGACACAGGCCCGAGGTGCAGGCTTGATCCCTGGTAGGGGGCATGCAGGAGGAAGCCAATTGATGTTTCTCTCTCACATCAATGTTTTTATCTCTCTCCTTTCCTCTCTCTCTAAAAAAGCAATAAAAATATATTTTAAAAAATTAAGTTCTATATTAATCAAAAAAGATAAAAATCACCTTACTGATTATTTCAGTGAAGGAATGTGTGTACAATGCTATGTAAAGACACATGTTTAAAACATATTTTTAAGAGTGCTCACCTGAAACCTATATAATTTTATTAACCAATGTCACCCCAATAAATTCGATTAAAACAAAGCAAACACAGTCAAGACAGCGCCAGCTCCCGAGCAAGCAGTGAGCGGTGTGCTGGCCCCAGGGGAACCCTGGACAACTTATCCAGGCTTTGGCAACAGGCCTCAGTCTGGAGAAGAGAGGTTCTGGAAAAGTTGTCTCTGAAATAAATTTCTTTTAGTTTAAAAAAAGAAAAAGAAAAAAAGTGCTAATAATTCATTGAATCAGAGTAGTGTTATTTCAGTGAATGGATGACTTTACCACATTCTACTGCATGTAATACACTCTGGAAAGTCACATGTATAAATAGATATTCCTAAAAGTACTAGTCACACATGCAGTCATGACAGTGTTATTTCAATGAAAGAATGTGTTCACCACAATGTAGTTTATGTAACATACTGTGTGAAATGACAAGTGTAAAAGATATGTCTAAAAGTGCCGGTTGAAAAAAAATTATGCTGAGGTCATAAAAATAATTCTGGGGTAAAAGATGTCAGATGATCATCATAAAAAATAAAAATGAAGATAAATATATACGATCATGTCCAAAGAAAATTATTCCCTATCTACCTCTATCAGATATAATCACTGTATACATTTTATTAAATATTCTTCTGATATCTCTATGACTATATACATTTACATGAAATTTTAAATTTTACATAAATTGGATCACATTATGCATGCTGTTTAATAACCTGCATTTGCCCTCTAGCAATATCAACACCTTTCTATTAGAAACCTTCATTATTGTTGATGCCCTTATTTTATTTAATAAGTCCTACTGACGATGGACATTTCAGTTGCTTCCAGTTGTTTTCACTCATGGATGATGCTTCAGTGAATATCCTTATACTTTCATCTTTTTGGTTTTTATCTTATAAAAATTACCTCTTAGGGTGAATATTCAGAAGTGAGGTATATGTTTATACATATTCCCAAGCTGCCATTTTTTTTTTTTTTTTATCCTCACCTGAGGACATTTTTCCATTTTTTGTTCAGATAAAGTGGGAGGGAGGGAGAGAGAGAGAAACATCGACATGAAAGGGACACATCGAGTGGCTGCCACCTGCGCGACCCAACCAGGGCTGGGGACAAACTGCAACCGAGGTACGTGCCCTTAGCGGTAACCGAACCCGGGTCTCTCTGGACCGCAGGCCAACGCTCTAACCGCTAAGCCAAACCGGCCAGGGTGGCCATTTTTAATTATAATTATAATTATATTTCCACAAATAGAACCTGATTTACAAAACTCAGTTTTACTGAGGGTCTGGAGATACGGCCTTTTTCAATCTTTGCCAATCCTATAGTTAAAATAACATCTTTTTTGGCATTCGTTTCTTTATTGGCCATTGAATATATTTTACCTTTTTTCATTGCCATCTTGTTTCTGTCTGGAAGTTATATTGGAGTAAGGCACAAGAAGGGATCCAGCCTAATTTTTCCAGTTAGTATGCCAGCTGTCCCAATCGTCATTTATTGATTGTTCTGTTTTTTTCCTCATTGATTTGAATCATTAGAATTTAGTTTTGATTAGATGGTCCCTCTTCTATTTCTCAATGGAATGTACAGGTTCCTCTGGACCCATTCTGTCCAGTATCATAACCACTAGCCACCTGGAGCTAAGGAGTACTTGAAATGTGACTTAAATTGAGATATGCTATAAATGTGAAATAAACACTAATTTCAAAGACTTAGTTTTAAAAAATGTTTAAAAAGTTTCACTAATTTTGTTTACATGTTAAAATAATAATTTTTGATATATTGGATTAAAATATATTAAAATTAACCTCACCCACCCTGGCCGGTTTGGCTCAGCGGTTAGAGCGTCGGCCTTCGGTCCGGAGAGACCCGGGTTCGGTTCCCGCTAAGGGCCCGTACCTCGGTTGCAGTTTGTCCCCGGCCCTGGTTGGTCGTGAGGGTGGCAGCCACTCGATGTGTCCCTTTCACATCGATGTTTCCCTCTCTCTCTTTTCCTCTCTCTCCCTCCCACTCTGTCTGTACAAAAAATGGAAAAATGTCCTCGGATGAGGATTAAAAAATAAATAAATAAATAAAATTAAATTAAATTAAATTAACCTCACCTGTTTTTTTTTAACCTTTTTAAATGTAGATATTGGAAAATTTTAATTACCTATGTGAGTAATATTTCTGTTGGACAGCACTAGTTCAGAACAGGGATCAGCAAACTACCTGTTTTAGCAGTGGCCAACAAACTAAGGATGGTTTTTATATTTTTAAGGGCTGCAAACATGCACACACAAAGAAGAGTATGTAACAGAGACTATATGTGGACCTCAAATCCCTTTGCATAAAGTCTGTTGACTCCTACTGTAAAATAGCCCAGAGAATTACTCAGTTAGCCTCTGAGACATCCAGTGACAAAGGAGGCAGTTTATTTCAGAGGAAGTCTATATATTTGCAGACCTAATTAATTATTAAATTTTGTTCTTCTATTGAGTCAAATGCTTTCCTGCAATCTTTATCCATTGGCCAATTGTGTCCTATAAAGTAAGATAGATGTCACAATGATAACTTATTCTATCTCATGGTAGTTAAAGGATTGTCAGATACTCTTCCTGTCTTCTCTTTTCCAAGTTAAATATTTTCCCTTCTCTTAGTCATACTTTATGTGTCACTTTCACAGTATCCTACTTAAATTTGTTATTGAAAATTGGAGAGAGAACATTTGGGTTGGTCCTAGCAGTACAGAGTTTAGCAGCTCTTTAAACACCATGGTTTTGGGTACCATTCTTATATAACAACATGATAATACAGAGCTGTAGAACACGAGAACTGCTGATGCCCTTGCTTTACAGCTGAGGTTAAGTTTAGAGATGGACCAATGAGAGCCAGGCCAAGGAGAAAATCTGTATCTCTGATTCTGGTCCTCAGGCTTATGTCCTCAGAGCAGGTTGCCTTTCTGGTGATTGGGGTCAAGGAGGAGAAATTATTATTATACTATTGGCTCCTGTTGTGTTTTGCTCTTAGCTAAGGTTTGAAGGTTGACCTATTTGGAAAGGACCTAAAGAAATTTGGTGTTATTCCAAGATTGAAGTTAACTTTGAGAATCTGTGCCCATTGCTTTGAATGTTGGGGACATTTAAGTGGTTCACCCCAAACTGTTCTGTGCCTTTTTAATAATACCCCCTTGTGTTTTCTCTACTTTTCCTTAAATTCCTTTGGTTTTTATTCAGGTTTGTGCCTTCTTGATAATGCCCATTTCTCCCATTGTACTTTTGTTAGGTCCCCATGAGCTGGCCATTAGATATAGTTTGTTTGGCTACATTTTAGGCTTATGTGTAAGTAGAGAGGAAAACATGAATCATCCACTATAGTTTTTCGGCCTTTTTAAAAAGAAAATGTATGCCTAATAAAATAAACAGAATCATTCATTCATCTATCTGGTTTACATGTACAGAGGTGGAACAGGGTTTGTAAAACTATGACCATTTCAACCAACTCTAGAGGGCTTAAAATCCACATAAAGAAACAGTAGTTGGGCATATCAGCTGTATCCTTAAATTTTGTTGGGTCAAGCAGAGTGGGAGGTGATGAAGATTGGGGCTGTCCCCAGTACAAGGGCCACTGAGGCATTGACCAACC